ATTTTGATGTTAACGCAGATGATATATAACATGAAACATGTAAGGGGATTTTCATACTCCACGTTTTTAACAGCTGGATGAATTAAGGATCTCAGCAGTGAGCTGAATGGGATAAAAGAAGCGCTAAATATTGTTTACCCTGCGCGTGTAAACAGGCCTCATCTGCACACTAAGACACAATAAGGACCGATTCTCGGATTCCACCTTTGACAATAAAGTAAGACAAGAACAACACTCCCCCGACTGTGAGCGCGGCAGCGTGTACCTGTGACAGCGCACACATTCAAACTTGACTTAAGGAGAGTTAAGTAAGCATTAAAGTCAAAGCATTGAGCAACGCCTCCAACGGCTGGAGTTCAGCTGCTGTGTTGAAACGTTGCGTCTCTGTGTGAGCACGTCTGACTCAATCCGAGTTTCCTATAATCACACACACACACACACACACACACACACGCACACACACACACACACGCGCACACACACACTGGTAAATTCCCTGTGTGTGCGTGTGTTTGGAGGGAAGGTGGAGGGGGGGGGGCAGAGATCCTGCTTCCTCACTTCTGCCCTCTGGTCCGTCAGTCGGCTGACCGCGCGCGGCTCTGGCTTCGTCTCCATGACAACCGGCCGTCAGTCGCCGCGCAGCTCGGGAAGCAGGAAGTGCCTTTGCTCCGCCCACGCCAAATTCTGCAGGTATGGCCAAAATACGCACGCGCGCGCGCACACACACGCACACACACACGCGCGCGCGCGCAGGCACGCACATCGCGTTGGCTGAGCGCTGGGAGGGGATACAGATGTGTGCGCGCGTGTGGTTAGAACGGACCCGGACCGGGACGCGTGGAGCAGCAGGTGGTCGGACGCGGGACAGGTCCGTTTTGGCGTTTTACGCGTTCGTGTCACGTGCGCGTGCGTAGGAGGTTTGCCACGAGGTGTGCGGGAAAACTCCTTCAGAGGAATGCCGTTTTTGGCTGAGATGATTTCAGTGTCGCGCACGCTGAAGTACGCACGCGCGCACGCGCAGACCCACGCGCACACGGACGCGGCGCGTGGCCGGGGAGGCAGGAGACTTGCTTATCCGGGCGATAGATGGGGACGGAACGCGCGGGGGTGAGGACAGTCCCATTCAGGTTTGGTGAGTTCAGATGGAGCCATGTGTACACACAACACACACGAGAGGGGGAGGGAGGGGGGAGACAGTTTGTAGGGGAGGGAATTAGAATGAAACGATAAGGAAGAGGAGGGTGGTGGGTCTCCGATCGAGGTCCTGGGATCATTAGCGCGCTGGTTTCATGAGGGCACTCAGAACTTGTCCTCCTGCCACTGCCCCCCCTTCCTCCCTCCTATGAGGAATGTGGGGCTTTATGTCAGTGAGAGTCAGGTACAGGCTCACTAATTACCACTGCCATTCCTCCCTCTCCCCCTCCCTCCATCTATGCCTCCCTCCCTCTCTTCATCCCTCCCTCTCCCTCCACTCGAGACCTTGTGCGCTCTCCTCCCTCCCTTGTCTCCCGCTGTTGCGTCTACGCGCCCCTGGTGACTGGAGCAAAGGAGAGGGCACGCTGCGAGGATCTGAGTCACAATCCGGAAAAAACACCAAAAGAAGAAGAGAAACTCTGACTAGTCCCCTCTCTCTCTCTCTCTCTCTCTCTCTCTCTCTCTCTCTCTCTCTCTCTCCCCCCCTCTCGCTCTCAGTGTGTGTCCGTCAGATGAGTGTGAGAGCTCTCTGCTTGTGCTCCGGGGGACCTGTCACTGAAGTCAGGAGGCGCATTAGAAAACACACAGGAGGATGAGGACGAGGACGAGGACGAGGACGAGATCACGATGAGAAAGTGAGCCACGCTTTCTGGACGGTGGCAGAAGAAGCTGAGACGTCCCCGTGACTCCCCCCCTGTCCCATCGGCCCGCAGGTACCACGCGCTTCTTGCTTTCTTTTTTCTCTTTCTGTTTCTCGTTTCAGTGTTTTGAAACTATTTGAATGTTTTCTCACCTGGAGGCTGTTCGTGGACACGCACACGCACACAAACAAACTCTCTTTCCCCTCTCAACACACACACACACACACACCACACACACACACACACACACACTACACACACACACACACAGTGGGTATTGGAAGGACATTTCTTCAGCTGGTCCAGTGCTCACACTGACCCAGCTGACTGCTATAACCTTCACCACAAGGTTACGGAACAGGGACTTGCTGTTTATTTGTGTGGTGATGTGTGTGTGTGATTAGTTTCTGTGTGTGTGTGTGTGTGTGTGTGGCTTTCAGAAACAGGTTGAGCAGGGCGCCAGTCAGACTCGGGTGTCCTCTTGTCGGTGCACAAACGAGATTTAGTTGTGAATGTGTGCAGGTGTGTGAACGTATGTGCAGTGTACAGTGCATTTGGGGTTGTTACAGTGTTTGTGTGTGTTAGAGGAGGGGGGGTGTCGGGGGGGTGGGCAGAATTAAGACGCTGAGCTTGTAGCTGATGGCAGAACGTTTCAGTTTCATTTACTAACTTGTGTTAAAAGTCACCTGTGGAGCCTGAGGTGAGGGACACAGAGAGAGAGACACCTGAAACACACCCATCTTTGTGCGTGCGCTTGTGTGTGTCTGTCTCCTCCCCCTTAACGGACGGCCGGCTTGAGAGTACACAACACCTCCACGCTGTAGGGTGTGTGAGTGGAAGTGCTGGTCAGACCTGATGAGGCGATGACACACGGTTTCCTCAAAACCCCCTAATGCAAAACCCAAAATAGATCGCAGAGGTGGTTCAGACGGACCGGCCGGTCTCTCAGTCAGCGGCGGGGGTTCAACGGGGAGCCGTTTCTCAGAACGATACTTATCGCTCAACCCGCTTTATCACATTCCACCAAAGAAGGACAAACAGTCACCCGGGACAGGAATTCATATCTCGGCTCCGTTCTTTCTTTTTTGTAGCGCGACCTCAGCGCTATCGTGCCTGGGCCCGTACCCGTTCACCACGACCAGGAGGAAGAAAAATCAAAAAATTGCTCTTTCGTATTTTTTTCTCTTAACCTGATGAGGTTTAAAAAAAAAAAAATCTAAAGCGGGAAGCTGATGGGAAATGATTATTCAGTAAACCTCAAGTATAAGGAAGAGAAACGCGTAAGCATGTAGTAACATAGTGGTGTCACATGACTGTCACGTGATCATCTTGTGCTCGTGATGGGGAAGCACAGATTCAGCTCTGTGTGTGTGTGTGTGTGTGTGTTGGAACCATGAACCTAATCCACCAACACTAAAGCAGAAATCTAAAGCTGGGGAGTAAGAGGGGGGAGAGGGGGAGGGGGGGGTGCACTATTGTGTTGTTTATGAAACATCTGTAACAGGAGCTGATCACCTTTCTTTCTGATCGTGACATACACACATACCTTGAAAGCACAATGGCTACATTCTTCCATCTGCTTCCCCCGCACACCTCCACCCCCCCTCCCTCCACCCTCCACCCTCCACCTCTACATAACGGCAGCGACACAGCCGGGGGAAGTGGAAACAGGTGAAAACCCACCTGAACGCTTTGAACCTGCATGTTTATTTGAGAGGCAGCTCACTGCTCTTTGTCAAGTCTTTCTAGTCCAAGTGTTTCAAATCAGAAAATACGTTTCTAAATTCATTTAAGTTGTTTGTGAAACAGCATGAGGGCGTAGAACATCATGATGGTACGTGGTGTCATTGACACGCACCAGTTGCTTAGAGACATAAGCGCATTTTGGGCTTGATACCAACAGATTGGGTGCTGAATGTTACTTTTTTAAACTTATTAATCAATCTCAGCGCTGTGTTTACATGGTCTACCTGGTCCAAAGTACAGAGGACATCGCAGAATTTTAGCTCCTGTGTGTTACCTTCTCCTGCTGACGAAGCATCAAGCCTTCACGGGCCACTGGATGCTGATTGAGTCTCCTGAGCTGCTGGCATGATGTGTTGCCAATGGACGCC